CGGTAAAACTGTCTGGGCCTGTAGAGCCTCTTTGTAGAAGATGTTTGGTTTTTTTAGTTTTAATTCTAGGGGTGGAACTTAGGGCCCAAATCTTGCTGAACACACATTCTCTTACTAAAGCTGCATCCCCAGCCCCGGAGTTATTGAATTCATTTTCTTTAATATTACATTTTTAAAAAAATTTATTTATTTATTATGTATACAATATTCTGTCTATGTATATGCCTGCAGGCCAGAAGAGGGCACCAGACGTCATTACAGGTGGTTGTGAGCCACTGTGTGGTTGCCGGGAATTGAACTCAGGACCTTTGAAAGAGCAGGCAATGCTCTTAACCACTGAGCCAGCCCCCTCTTTAATATTATATTATAGAATGTTTGGGAAATCTCTTTCATCTTGGGGAGTTGGCCCATTTCATGTAAGGCGTGAGACTTGTATCTGTAGCTGTTTGTGGATTCTCCTTAGCATCCCTAAGGAAGAGGGGCCATTTTTTTTTTTTTATTCCAGTCTTTGGCAGCTTGTGCTGTGTGCCCTCTTTTTTTGTTGTTGTTGTTTTGTTTTGTTTTTGTTACACTTGTTACTGCTGTGCTTTTCTTTAAAAAGCATAATGTTTCAAAGAACTGCTTTCTACCAAATACATAAAAAACATTTTCGACTTAAGTTGTAATTAGGGCTAGAGAGATGATTCAGTGGTTACGAGCACCTGCATTCTTCCAGAGGACCTGAGTTTGGGTCCCAGCACCTGCATCAGGACCCTAGAGCTCTAGTTCCAGGTGATCTTCTGTCCTCTGCTGGTCCCCAAGAGCCCTGCATTCATGGTATATGAACACAGGGTGGATCTTTGTGAGTTTGAGGCCAGCCAGGGCTATACAGAGAGAACCTTGACTCCAAACAAACAAAACAGTGTGTGTGTATGTGTGTGTGTGTGTGTGTGTGTGTGTATGTATGATGTAATCAACTTCAAAACACTGAATGAATGATATGAATGACATAGTCTGTATTCTGATTTTCATGCTACCTTAGGACACATATCAACTGCTTACTAAGCCACATGTAGCTGGTGGCTGCTGTAGCCCCAGGGTGCAAGTCCATACCTTTATACCTTGCTCTGTGGTCACCTCAGCATCATTTTCTCTGCTAGTGTCCCCATTTTGGTCCCAGTGGAGACAAAGCTGCCTGCTAGCATGCTTTATGGTCACGGTTACTCCCAGTCTGCCCTGTTTAATTAGCCTCTTGAGTTCATGCTGTTTCCATTGCACCCTTCCCCTTCGGCAGCCTTAGTACTCCCACAGTGGGTGATACACAAGTGTCTGGATAGACAGTAGGTAAAGCGTCTGGGAACCTCCAGGGGGGTTGACTGTTTCTACTTGCTTGCTTCCCATCCCTGCCTGCATGTCCCTTCATTGAGACTCTTCTCTGCCCCCAGGGAAAAATCCCATTCCTGGTTGAGCACGGGCTTTTTTACCATGGTGATTGCGGTGGAGTTGTGTGACCATGTGCACGTGTACGGCATGGTCCCTCCCGACTACTGCAGGTGAGCTCCCCTGGTCAGTACCCCTGAGAACCACACCCGGTTACTGATGGCAAGGTAGACCTGGGAGGTCTGGAGTCATTGCTGAGGCTCCGTCTTGAGGGCCTCTGTTGGATAAATTCCTGCTGTTCTGTAGAGATGGGCTCCTTGGAGCTGCCCCAGGGGCTTCCACCGAGTTTGGGGTTTGTTGTACTGACTATATGAAAATTCCACGGAGTGCTAGCCACATCTTAATGAGTGCCAACCAAGCACCAAGCATCATTTCTTCACACACTGCCAGGACACTGTCCTCCCCATTTTACGAGTGCAAATCAAGGAAGGTGTTTAGTGAGGGGACCTAAGGTCTCAGAAACTGTAAGGGGTACCAGGCTTCTGAGACCCACAGTTCTTCACCATTGCCTCGCCCCCAGCCTCGCCCTCAGCCCCCACTGCTGCTCTGATGGGGAAAGAAAAATGGTCCATTTTGTTTAAAAGAAGCTTGATGGTGCCACAAATTTAATCCACCATATGCCCACTGTATAGATGGAAAAACTGAAGCTTGGGGAAGGACAGAGATTGACGTCACTGGGACTCTAGGATGGGTGAGGGGTGGAAGCAGAACGAAGCCCTTACAGGTGCCTGCCTTGTCCCCAATGCCCCTGACATCCCTGTCTACTGTGCCCAGCCAGCGGCCCCGCGAGCAGCGCATGCCATACCACTACTATGAGCCCAAGGGGCCCGACGAGTGTGTCACCTACATCCAAAACGAGCACAGCCGGAAGGGCAATCACCACCGCTTCATCACCGAGAAGAGGGTCTTCTCATCCTGGGCCCAGCTCTATGGCATCACCTTCTCTCACCCCTCCTGGACCTAGCTAACCCACCCGTGCAGTCTCGGAGAGATGCAGGCAAAGTGGCTCTGGTTCAGCCATTTGGCCATGGCCATCTTCCAGCCAGTTTGGGCTGACTGGAGTATTTCCCAGCCAATCAAATCAGGGCTTTGATGAGGGTTTTTCCTCCAGCCAATCAGGGCTGGGGTTATCTCTTGGTCAATCAGGGATTTGGAATTCTGTATGGTTTAATCAGGTGTCAGGGGGTCTTTCTTGTCTAGTCAGGGTCTGAGCATAGTCAATCAGGGTATAGGGGTCCTGCTGAGTTAGTCTGAGGCTTAGGTCATGTCCTTTCCCGTAGACCTTGCATCAGAGCCCCAGGAATTGGCCCCATATCACCCCCTCCTTAGCTGGGACAAAGAGGTCCTCTCTCAAGGATCTGGGAACTTTGTGTTGCCCCACAGTTCTTTACTCAAAGATACTATATGGGGTAGGAGCTGTCTGGAGGCCAGGCCAGAGACGTTGTGGAGTTCTAGAAATGGTAGGGAGGGCTGAGAAGTAGGAGGCGGGTATCCAGGTCCTGGCTTCTTCCTGAGTGACCTTGGACAAGCCCTCCTCTCTCTGGCGCGCTATGATGACATGATGACATCACACTCCTGTGTGCAGACAGAGACCCTTACTCTACAGTAAACTCAAGTGAAATTCCTCCAGCTGTCGTCGTCACTGGGGGACTCAGCTCCCTGGGGATGGGAGCCTGGGGTGCCCTTCCCCACCTCCTAGAGACTTCAGGGTATTTTTGTGTAAATACCCTTATAGTTGAGGAACTCTGAGGAAGTGGGGCAAACATGCACCTGTTTTCTTAGCCCCTCTCAGTCCAGCTGCCATTAGCCTGGCTCTCGAAAGGCCAGGCGTCTCTTCCTGCCTTGCAGCAGGTGAGTGTTCCCTCTGCCCAAAGAGCCTTTGGGATGGAGACGGGATCTCCCAGCCACACCAGGGCAGCCCTTTGTTTAGAGATGCTGAGGGCTTTGGGGAGAAGTGCCCCCAAGTTTGGAATGGGAATAGAGAGAGACAGGAGCTGGTTACCTGGGTTCTGTCCCCTGCTCAAGCACTTTACTAAGGTTGGGCCTGGGTGTATTTAAGGCCACTCTCACACAGCCTGCAAGGGAAGGCCCTCCAGCGGAGGCTGTGGAGTGTCTGTGTGCGAGGCTGGGGGCTGGCCAGCTCCGAGTCCTTGTATACTGAGATAATGGGGGATCAGTGACAGCCCCAGAGATCTGGTTTTGTAACGATTTATACAGAAATAAACACACCTAAGCCCCAGCTCGGTGTTCTGTGTCTTGAGTCTGCATTTTCACTTGTGTCCTCTCTCCCAGCTGGGAATATGCTAAGGACCAACCTGTAGCCTTTGGGTTAGGAGCTCCCTTGACCAGTGTCAAACTTAGATTCCAGCTGCCTGGGGAGTCTTGGGTCTAGACACGATAGAGCTGATGTTGGGCAAGGCATTTTGTGTCTGGAGTGCCAGTGGTTAAATACTGCTGGCCAGGAGCTCAGGTTCAGGAGAGGGAGGAGCGCCACGAGCTCTTGGAAGAATTCTGAGGAGGGAAGTTGAAGCCTCAGAGAAGAGCTGAAGAGGAGGGAGAGGGGCCTGGAGGCAGGAAAATGTCCTTCTGGGTAGAATGAGCTTGGCAGATGGTAAACATGGCTGCCAGCCTCTGAGTGTAAGGGCTGTTTACTCCAGACAGGCAGGAGGTGAAGGGTCCCTGACTCCAGAGAGGAAATTACAGCCTGTTACAGCAGATAAGAGTCCCCTGGGAGCAGGCCTCACAAAGGGTGACTGTGCAAGACAAGGACAGACTGCGGAGGGGCTAGGAAAGAGAGCTGTCCTGGGCTCCAGGCCAGGCAAGACGGTGGGCCACCAGGGCAGGGAGGCAGGAGAGACACCTAGCATTTGTTCCTTGTCCTGTGTGGTTCATTCATCATCAGATGCCACAAACCATGTTACAGTGTCAGCTGGGACCAGTAAGTCCGTGACAGCAACAGTAAGGAGTGGTAAGGCGGGGGACTCGGGGCCAGCTGGCCAGCAGCCGGGACTACCTGCCTGAGGGTGGTAAAGCCTTGGTACTTGTCTGTAGCTCTCAGTGGGGCAGCAGCAGGCTAGGCAGGGGGTTAGAAGGTGGCAGGGCCAGGAGCTAAGCCACCACTGTGATGCAGGCAGTGACAAGGGACCAGAGAAGCAGAGGCTTCTTATGGTGTCATAATAGGGGCGTCTTGAGCCTTGAGTGAGGCTGGAGACAGCACACTTCCGCTTCATGTGAAGGCCTCTGGGAAGCTGGATCCTGTCAAGGGTGTCCCGGTAGAGTTTCTCCCATAGTACTGGTGCCTGCGCTCACCCACATGAAGAAGAGGTTAGATGCTGAATATGGACCTCTTACTGGGACGTCAGTTGAGCTGAGGGCTAGAATTCCCAGGGCCTCGTCCTGTCCCATCCCATCCCCCGAGATTCTCACCTCAGGTGGAACCCATTGAAAACCTTTTGGTTTCTGAAGCCCACCTCTCCGTGACTCTGAAATCCAGGCCCTGTGTCTTTGTCTGCACTCCTGGGTGGGAGTGGGGGGGTTCTGTGTCTCCTCTCCCTCTGCCAGAGGCCCTAGCCTCTCTGCCTCTATTGCGTCTTACCTAAAGCAGCTGCGGAGCCTTTCCCTCCCGTTCTCAGCTTCTTCTCCAGATGTTCCCTGCGTCTGGTGGTGGTGGTGTTCCACCAGTCCACCTGGGACATGCCCACTCCTGTCCCTTCTCTCAGTACTAATCCCAGCTGGTCCGGCTGGGAGCCTCAGGGTGGCAGCCCAGGGCCATCTACCTCTCCCATTCTCACCCCTGTGGGGCCCCTTTCCAAGCCCTCACACTCTTCTGTAGTCACATGTTTAATTTTACTCTTAATTATATGCCAATGTGTGGGCATGTGCATATGAAGGCAGGTGGCCAAGGAAGCCACAGGGAAGAGCTGGGGTTAAAGGCTGTTGTGAGCCTTCCCGACCATCCAGAGGGCGATTGGACCTGAACTTGGGTCCCTGGGATAGCAATATGCACTCTCAATTGCTGAACCATCCTCCCAGCCCTCAGAATATCTTTTAGTGTTCTAAACTGCTTTCACTTTTTTGTTGTTTGGGTTTTTTTTTTTTAAGATTTATTTATTACATACAGTATTCTGCCTGCACGTATGCCTCAGGCCAGAAGAGGGCACCAGATCTCATTATAGATGGTTATGAGTCACCATGTGGTTGCTGAGAATCGAACTCAGGACCTCTGGAAGAGCAGCCAGTGTTCTTAACCTCTGAGCCATCTCTCCAGCCCCTTGTTTGGTTTTTTGGACACAGGGTTTCTCTGTGTAGCCCTGACTGACTATAGACTACTGACCTGTAGACCAAACTGGACTTTTTGTTTGTTTGTTTTTTCGAGACAGGGTTTCTCTATGGCTTTGGAGCCTGTCCTGGAACTAGTTTTTTTTTTAATATTTATTTATTTATTACGTATACAATATTCTGTCTGTGTGTATGCCTGCAGGCCAAAGAGGGCACCAGACCCCATTACAGATGGTTGTGAGCCACCATGTGGTTGCTGGGAATTGAACTCAGGATCTTTGGAAGAGCAGGCAATGCTCTTAATCTCTGAGCCATCTCTCCAGCCCCTGGAACTAGCTTTTGTAGACCAGGCTGGCCTCGAACTCACAGAGATCCACCTGCCTCTCCCTCCTGAGTGCTGGGATTAAAGGCGTGCGCCCCCACCGCCCGGCTTACAATCATTTTTATTCAGGTGAGATCAGACCTGGGCAGGTGAGTTTCATGTCTCGCACTAAGGGGCTGCTACCTTAGCAAGTCAGTGTTTCTTTTTCACTTAGACCTAAAGGCAGGGTCCCTGCCTCCCACGCATCCTGCTGTGCCATGGCCCCCAGTCAGTCACAGCAGACATGAAGAACCTTCCTGTATGAACTCTGTTCCCACAAGCATTTGCTTGAATGGGTTTCTAAAAGTAGGAGCTGGTAGAAGTTTGGATGACATCATCGATCTGCTTTCCCCAAAAGTTGTGTCACGGCACACACCCGCCTAGGTCTTTTAAAAGGGCTTTCAGACCAACACAGTACATCTGACTCACTGAGCTCCCCCCCGCAACTGCAAAAGTGAGGTTGCTTGATGATGTCACAGGTGGCAGAGTTGGGACTAGATCAGGCATCTTGGTATCCATGACCATCAAATACATGAGTTCTGAGCCTTGATAGTCCTGAGCTCTCATCTGTGCCTTGCTGTTTGAGTACCTGTCACCCAATGCCCATTGTCGGAGTGTTCCAGAAGCACATGACTTCCCACCCAGGAGCCTCTGGTAGCTTCTGGGTCCTACTCTGGGTTCCCTGGGCACAGCTGGTCTGCTGCTGGCTTAGTGCTCCACCCAGGTGCTCACAATGAGGGCTCTCATGGTTTACACCCCCCCAGTCTGGATACACAGCATTCTGAAAGTCTGTGTCTCCAGTACTCAACTATGGGGCACTGCTGGCAGCTTCATGGGGTCAGGGCTGGCTTATCATCTACCTAACCACCAGATCTTCGGGGCCCCAGAGGAGCTCAGACAAAATTGTCTCAGGGTGGGGGGTCTCAGAGCATGAGGACTGTGGTCCTTGAACCCCAAGGTCCATACCCTGGTCCCCCTCCCTTCTTACTTGCCTCTTTGCCACCAGCGCCGTGAGATCTTACACACAACCCGTCCATCTGAGCATCAGTTTCTCCAGCTCTAGAACCCTTGTCCATGGGGAGTGATGTGGGCCCCGGGGAGTGGCAGACTTCTGTGTGCAGGTTCAGTCCCTGGGGTGCCTGTTGGAGACGCTCACTCTTGAGAGGCTCTCCATCAGAGTCCCCGCTTCCTCCTCTTCCCTCCTCCTTCCCCTCCCTCCCTCTTCCCTCCCCTCTCCCTGCCATCTCGCCAGAGTGCTGGCTCCCGGCATGCCATGCGTGCGCACTGACAGCCTTATAAATAGCCGCCTTTGCAGGCGGCTGAGAGGACTGGCAGGGCACGCACTGGCCCCAGCGCCCACTCCACCCTCCCCCAGGTCAGTGTGTGACTGCTCCATTGTCTGCCCGTGTGGATTCCACCGAGGGAGTGGGGAGACATCACCTGTGGGAAGGTGGGGGTGCTGGTGTCAGGCTGCCCTTGGGTTCTGTGTGTCTTGTGTGTTTGTTGTTTGTATCCTTGGTTATGAACTGTGCTTTTGCATGTGCGTTCTTTCAGCTCTGGGTGCATGTGCCCTGTGGCTGTGTGTGTGTGTGTGTGTGTGTGTGTGTGTGTGTGTAACTCCTCCCAGCCTCACAGACCCCTTTGTCCTACCTGGCATTTCTGGGGCTTCAGGTCTGTGCCCTTGGCTTATCCCTGCTGAGGCCCTAGGGGAAGGGGAACAGACAGCCTATGTCCCTGCCCCAGAGGACCTGGGTAATGGCAGCCTCGGCACTCCTAGAGCTGTAATGTCACTTTGAGGGTTGGGAGGACCTGGGGCCTCTGGACGGTGGAGCCCTGCCAGCACCTCCTGCTGGATCAGGGGCTGTGAAAGAGCCTTGGAGCCTGACTTATAGCTCTGGGCAGCTGCTTACCCACGACACTTGAGTAACAGGCAGACTGGCAAGAGAGGGGACAGTGGCTGCCCAAGGTCACACAGTTGAGTGATGGAGCTGTGATTTGAACCCTATCTGCTCGCCAGCCTCTGTGAGAGAGTCTATCGAGGCCTTGTGATTGGAGATGGTTGTCCTATGGGGCCTCTGCTCCCTGAACTACCTAGAAGACGACTCCGCTCATATTAGGAGTCACTGGGGCCCTGGCCCAGGGAGCCTTATAAGGCCTGATTGCTTAGTCTGTAACCTTACTCTGCCTGGGACCCCTTGCCTCCTGGAGGCCTCCTCACGACCTAAGTTATTTTAGATCAAGGAAGTGGCAGGTGTCTGTGGGGCAGAGGAGCTTAGGTTACCAGGAGGGGTGGGGCAGGTGGAGTAGAGTGGCCTCCTAGGACATCCTGGTGGCTGTCCAGAGCCTGGGACACTTCTCCTCCCCTGGGCAACTGCTGAGGGGCTTGGCAGCTCCACGCCCCCTTCTGCACAGTCTGCAGGCCTAGAAGCTGTCTGCTCGCGTACCTGTGCAAAGTTGTTTAAGGCCCTTGTCTGGTGTGGGGCTCCAGGCCTGAGCTTGAACCCAGACAGAGACTGGAGCTAGTCTGCCTTCCTCCCCAGCCTCAGTCCCTTCCCCAGATGACAGGTAAGATGGAATAAGGGTCCCAGTCCAGGGCTCTT